TACAGGAATCCCAGGAAATCCATCCCACAGCACTATACTCCCCTCTTCTCAGCTTCAAAGTGTTTAAATGGTGGCCTTGCCCCCTCCACAGCTGCTGCAGGATTGTAGACACAGGCAATGAGCCACTCTCTAGTAATGAATAATCTACTAAAACCTTGTGTATCATTACTGCTTGGACCTTAGAAGAAGGGGGTACACCCCAAAGGCTTGTTATGAAAATGTGAATGTTGAATAAATAAAAAAAAGTATCATGGACAGTACTCATTTGCCTTTAAACATGCTAAAAGTGTAGCTGATGACATCAACATTTTTTAATTTTTTTGAACTTTGACCCCATTTTAAAATAGCTAGTACTTTTTCCAACATTTCACCACCCCTTCCTGATATTTTGGACTGCTACAAGCTGCATTCTTCTTCCACCGGTATTAAAAACAATTTGCATTATTGGAATTCATTCTTGTTTATACAAATGCAGTTCTTGTTCCAACTGCCAAGTCCTGTATATGAACTATTGTATAACATTTTCTTTCTCTCCTTCCAGGCTCCCATCTCTCATTATACGCTTGTTTGTCTCTTGTGTTCAGGCTATGATTATCTCTGGTTATTTTCTTATAATGATGTCTATGGAATTATATTACTCTATCCATCAAGTTCTTTGTCTCACAGGTATTGACCTATTTTACACATTTCCAAAAATGAATTTTTTAGTACTTTGTCCCTTTTTTATGATTTTTGCAAGGATTTCTATTATTAATGCAATATTGTTTACAGGATTTATCAATGAGTGGAACTTTTTTTAATTGGAATACGTTATGCATTTTTAAACATTGTACAAAAAAATACAAATTCGCACATAGCTTGACTAGATCCAAGTTTGCTCTGGAGCTATGTGAACAGTACATCATTAACATAATGCTACATGCGAATGCAGCTGCAAGCCTTAAGGTGATTTGCTCCTTGTGGAATGTTCATTTGCATACTCTTTTAAGAGAGAGTAATCTCATTCCCTTTTTATTCTTGATAATATATTGAATGTTCACTTTGGTTTATATAATTCAAATATCTTTGCAAACAAGGCTGTTTAAACATATTAGTAGGCTGAAGGCAAAGATCTTATCATTAGGGCCCTCATTCAAATGGTCATTTACATTTGATTTTATTTAAAGGTGCCCTTTCAAAAAAAAAAAAAAAATCAACGGAATCTAATCCTATGCTTATTCCCATTTTGCCTTTGTATTTGGTATAATAATAGATGAACTCCATGCATTTCTAAAAAACACAAATGAATAAAATTATGTATGCAATAAAATTTAGAAAGTGTACTTGTAAGAACATAGTATTAATGGTTGGATTTGACTTGATTACAATCTCTCTTACACCCCGGTCACATCAAACCCGACTTTGAAATCGTGCAATTTACAGTGAAGCTGCACGTTATCTAAGTCGGGTGACTTGCAGATTTTAGGTGCGATTTGCAAGACATCTGACACAGATGTCTATGCAAATCGCACCAAAAGTCATGCACGTACTACTTTAGAAATCGGTGCGGCTCCAAACATGTCGCAGTGCAAGTGAAGCGCCGCCAGTGCACAGTGGTGAAACGGTGGTATTGCAGCCTATGATGTCTGAAAATGTGTTATTGCAATATGATGATAAAACTGACAAGTGTAATGTGTTAGATTCTACTGAGCCTCTTGTTTTTTTCTGTATTTCTTTGGGCAGATACAGGGTTGCAAAGCACCAGTGAATGGATCACGGACTGGGATATGCGGCGCAAGGAAGTACTTTGATTGTTGGACAGTGTATCCATGGGGGTAATGCTGAGGTGGACACTAGTGCTGCTGTGTTAGGAGAAGGGTCTGCAAAGCAGTTGGTAATAAAGGATGCGTTGGCTGCAGAAGTTAACCCTCTCACCAAAAGGTCAAAGTGAGTGCAAACACACAGCAGGAGTTTTGCCCACAACACATAATAGAGTTGATGGTGTATTGTGTCTTGTGATGACAAATATGCTGAAAGAAATGTCATGAAGTGTACAGCAGGTGTATATCTTGTCATCTCCTGGGTCAGGAGAAACTGGGGTACTGCTAAATGGGCTGTATATTACAGGCTGTACTGGATAAGGATAGCCATTGAAGTTATATGATGCAATGTTTTGTGTTATTGTGGAGAGTTGTCTCACAGTGTGCTGTGTTGCTTCCTACTGATGTTTTGTATGAGAAGCACTTTTGAACAGATCAGAGGTATGGATTAAAGTGCCAGCTGACACAGAAATGGTAAAAAAAAGACTGGTGTATTTGATCTGGACAAAGGTTGTGTTGAAAAAGGTTCATTGGTAGGATAGTCGCTTTTGGAGTGTTGGACAACAGGGGGCAATGTGAAACTTTGGGACAGTCCCTTTATGTCGTACCTCCACAGATACTGTCCTAACAAACAATGGGACAAGAGTATTGAGTCATGGTGACAATAATGAGCTGAGTAATACATTACCCGCTTGCTGATCACCTGCCCACAATGTACTGCAGACGGGCAGTAGCTACAGACAAAGTGATGTAGCCGTATGTTGCTTCGCTCTTATGTGTTTAGAGTGCGCATGCGCGTAGCCCCCCCCCCCTGCTGACCCCCACTGTCATTTGCTGTAGGAGATGCATGTCAGCAGGTCTTGGCCTGTGATTTTTGGCTGGGACTCTGCTGATATCCTACAGCGAATGGAGAAGCAGAGAGCTGTGCCTGTTATTGTAAATACAGGCACAGGATCTAGCTGGATTTTCTCTCCCTGGAACCATTTTGTTCCAGGGAGATAAGAAAGAAAAATTACATAAAAGCAGCACATTGCACCCACACACGATAGATAGGCATTTAATCCCTTGATTGCCACCCTTTAACTCTTTGATTGCCCCCTGCCACCCTGCCAGTGCCATAAGTACAGTGTCACTGTACAGCATTTATCACTGATCACTGTATTACTGCCACTGTGGATGTCAGATAGCGTCAGATAGCATCAGGGTCAGTTAGTGCCCCTCCCAGCTAGGGTCAGCTAGCGTTAGATTGCCTGCACACTATTGCACTCACGCTATAGGTCGCTAATCACTGCTATTACTAGTATAATTTTGTACAGATAAATATATATCACAAACAGACTATACCAGTGCCCCCTTAGTATTAGTGTTCCCAAAAATGCAGTGTTAGCAGGATCAGCCCTGTTCACTGTCAGCAATTGCGTTTAGCCCCAGCCCCCCCCCCCCCCCCCCACCCACACCTCTAACAAGAAGTGCAGTGTCAGTGTAATTTCTGACCACTGTCCCCTGTGATACATTGCACACAAAAGTGCAGCGTTAGCAGAATCAGGCCTGATCTCTGCTAACACTAGCAGGTGAATTTTATTGGTAGTGGTTCAAGCAGCCCCTGACAGCCAGGTGCACTTTTTCTCATGAGTAGCACTCAGTACCTGTAAATTTAGAGCTCAAAATGTCCCAAAAAAGGTACACTATTGAAGAGGCCTAGAGCATGTCTGATGAAAGCAAAGGGGAAGCCTCTCTGACAGAATCCACCTCAAAATATGAACCCGTAGAAAGCAGCGGCACCCTGTCAGGTAGCTCGGACGATGGAGGAGAGGTCCCTGTTAAGATCAGGTGTACCCAACCCCATGAAGCTGAATGTTAGGGACACATGACTTGTCTTATATGCAGCAGAGTACCAGTACTAGTGCCGCACTACCTTTTTGGTGAACTGGAGAGCACCAGCAGCCTAGTACATCATGGTCTTTTTCATACCAACACTGCAGTATCACTTGGTGATGTGGCAAGTCCCATAAGTGCAGTATAAGCTGGTGCAGTGCCGAGCAGAAGTAGCATCCCACAGCCACCAAGAATTTGCACACAGGCTTGTAGAGCCCACAGTGTCCTTCCGTACATGCTTGCATATCCTTATTGGCAGCCCACAGATTCTGTAGCACCAGTACTTCCCCCATTCACTACCCAACCTAGAATTCAGATGGAAACAGCAAATTTAACTACTCCCCTTGATTTTTCTGGAACTGTTTTTCACAGAAGATTTGTACAATTTGATTGTGGGCCAAAGCAATTTATATGCACAACAATATATCGCTAACAACCCAAATTCAGCTCTTGCCAGACAATTTGCATAGAAATGTATTACAGTTTCCAAATTTGAAACTTTTTTGGACCTATCCATCAACATGGGCATTACTAAAAAGAATGAGTTGCGGTTGTATTGGTCCACAGACCAAATTCATTCACTTTATTGGTTGCCTTGCATTCAAACAGTACCTTCCCCAGCAAGCGTGCCAGATGTGGATTCAAACTATTTTGTTTCATAAGAGGTAAAACGTATATGTGGATAATTTCTATACAAGGGTGCCACTATTTAGACATTTGTACAATATTGGGATTGGCTAATGTGGCACCATGTGACCTAATCGCTGGCATTGCTGCTCAGTTTTTCCACTTTCCCTGAAGAAGTGGGTCACATCCCACGAAACGCGTCGGGTCTTTTGATTGATTATCCAGTTTTGGATTAAATTTTATGGAAAAGCAATTTTGGTTTCTAATGGAGTTACCACCCTCCTAAAATTACACCCAATGGTCCATCATTTGGATAGTCTATATTAATTTAGATATTTCCACTAATTACCAACATTTTTCACACCTTTCATGTCTGTAATCATTTTACCAGTTTGATGATGATTCTTTTTTTTATGGTATCAGGACTTTTACCCGTGTCGTTCTCACATCCCGAGCCAGAGTCTTTGCCCACTATTATCTCTTTATATTTTTGTTTACTCATTATGTATGTGCCTACATTGGTGTTTGTCTTGCTTACCACTCTGTGTGTTTTTTTTTATAATGTCATAATAAAATATGCTCTATTTTCTCCTAGTAGGGTGAAGCGTGATTCGTCACTCCAGAGAACACATCTCCACTGCTCTAGAGTCCAGTGGTGGCATTCTTTACACCACTGCATCCGACACTTTGCATTGCACTTGGTAATGTAAGCCTTGGATGCAGCTGCACGGCCATGGAAACTGTTGTTGTGCTAATCCGAAGACCACACAGAGTTTTGAGGTCTTTAACTATTGACTCTGCAGACAGTTGGTGACTTCTATTCACTTCAGCATGCGCCTGACCCAGCTGACCCCGCTCTGTCATTTTACGTGGCCTACCACTTGGTGGCTGAGTTGCTGTTGATCCCAGTTGCTTCCACTTTGTTATAATACCACTAACAGTTGACTGTGGAATATTTAGTAGCAAGAAAATGTCACGGATGGACTTATTGCACAGGTGGCAACCTATCACAGTACCAGGCTTGAATTCACTGAGCTCCTGAGAGTGACCCATTCTTTCACAAATGTTTGTAGATGTTTGTAGATGCAGTCTGCATGCCTAGGTGCTTGACTTTATACACCTGTGGCCATGGAGGTGATTGGAACACCTGAACCCAATTATTTGGATTGGTTACAAGGCTTCCATCAAGTTGTGCTCTTCTAATAAACAGAGCTTGAATTCCTTAATAGGCAGTCTCAAACTCTCTACAACATTCCTAAGAACAAAATTGCTTTCTTCCATGAGACACAATTACAGATAAACCATACACCAGCCCTCAATAATTGGTATTTCCCTATGTGGTTTCAAAGCATGTTTGCTCAATCCAAATATAGGGGAATTTCCATTGCCCTTTACAAATCTTTAAGCTACCAGATACTTGAACATAGAACATAGGGTGATTTTAATTGCATTATGAACTCTTCTGTTGGTAAAAGTTCAATTTACCAAATTCAAATGTACAAACTCAAATGTTTCCTAGCACAGAATTACCTGGTAGATACATGGTGGATTCTCTCATCTCACAGATTAGGACTACTGTATACTTTTTGCTATATCTTATAATCAAATAACTTTTTTCTCCTTATCAGCCAATAGCTTTAACTCTACATCCCACTTCTAGGTAATATATTATGGTCTGACCATACCCCAATTGAATTGACTTTCTCTCTCCCTGAGCTACCACAGTTAAGGTGAATGTGGAACCTGAATGACAATATCTTGCAAGATACGATTTGCCCAACTGACATAGATTACACTATTGGATATTTTCTTATAGATCACCTTGGGGATGATACCTCCTTACCCCTTCAATAGCAAGCACTTAAATGTGTCCTTAGGGGGGTGTTTATTAAACACGATGCATGACTAAAAAAAGCCCAAATAACTGACAACCTGACCAAGACACAGTATTAAAAGGACCTAATTTTAGGCAATCACTCCTACAGCTCCCTAACAAAAAAACATTATACAGTACCTAAAGGCTGCACCTGGGGTCTCTTCTATGAATCTAGAAAAAAACCTGGCAATCTCCTTGGCAAAGCTCTTCATGCTAAGAACAACACTATACCTATGCCAAAGCTCAAAAACCTAAATAATTCTCCCACTCACATTCCCTAAAAATTATGGACCTATTCCAATACTTTTATAAAAAGCCCTATAATATCTCTGGACACTTTAAGGACCTAGACCCCTCCTTGCTCAAGATCAAAATTCTAACATTCATGCAAGAAACAACTCTTCCTATTAACACACCATCAGAAATGTAACTATTAGAACAACCTTTTCAAAAACAATAAGTAGAACTCTCAATTGCCTCTCTGAAACATGCTGAATGGTTTCTCATCCTGTTTCTATTAAAACATTTCTGGAAATCCTAGCTACCTTTCTCAATAAAACCTACAATGAAATCCCCTACCTCACCCTTTCCCCAATAAGCTCTGGAAATCCATACAGAGGGTAATTCCACAGCCAAGAAAAGTCTGTCTGTTCCCAATCAGGCGCTCCCCTCCCAGTGAAAAGTCATTTTCAAAATATAGGCACTTCCCATATTTGGGTAATGACATCAGCTGTATCCCCGGTCCTTTTGCTTACATTTAGCTTTCAGCCGGGAAATCTCCTGGCAGACATCTAAATGAGGTGTGCGGATACAGCACTGTGTGGGAAGCTGTCACATGTATGACAGCTTCCCAAGACAGGCACGGCCTGCATACATCCATACACCAGTTTAGAGTTAATTAATCTTAAAGTGTTACTAAACCCACAACAGTAAAATCAGTCTGTATATGCAGTAAAGCATGCTTGTCATACTCACTGTGGAACCTAAGAGGTTAATCCTCTGCATTGTGTGAAAAGGATGTTTGATCCCTTCTTCTCTGTTCCTCCCCTTTTTTAAGCAACCACCACTTATCTCCAGACTGAACCGTAGGCATGCACATACTCAGTTTGGTGTGTATTGCTAGAGATATTTTTTTTTGTTTCTTGGGAGAGTGCATGTGATCAGCACAGGGCCACTCAACCCTGTCCGGACAGAGGTCAGGGGATTTCCATCCTCCTAGAGCAGAAAGAAAACTCCTCCTACAAGCTTTAGCTAGTGCTGGGCTGGACACTGATAGAAATCACAAGACTGCTCTAACGTCTGATGAGAAAATGTATTTAGGTATTTAGCAGTTTATATTTACTAAAATAATTGCACTTCCATGTTCTGTCTACTGTGGGAGACCAGATATAGTGGATGCAGGGTCCTGAGTTTAGTAACACTTTAATTACTGCCAAATTAATTGGAGAATTGGCTGTAATTATTTAAGAATTTGCTTCTTTCAATAGCGATAGATGAAGTGGCAGTAGTAAGAACTATCTGACTTCACCACAAGTGTTAGTAATGTTACTGACACTGGTGCAAATGCTTGCCTGAACTTGGCTCAGGTAGTTCTTAATGGAACTACCATGAGAAAATTAATGTTAAGGCTGGTTTAAATTTCTCTACAGCTGTTTATATTCTCTTTTAGAAATCTCTTCTGTTTGGATGTCTTTTTAATATATCAATGTCATAAAAGAAACAAAGAAAAACACTTTTTTTTTTCAAAGTTCGTGGTCTATTTTTTTGTTATTTAGCAAAAAATAAAAACCCAGTGGTGATTAAATACTACCAAAAGAAAGCTCTGTTTGTGTGCAAAAAAACTGATAAAATATTAATTTAGGTATAGTGTTGAATATTTTCATGTTGAGTCATTTTCATTCAAACTGTGACAGCGCTGAAAGGTGAAATATGGCCTGGGCAAGAACAGGGTGAAAGTGTCTGGTATTGAAGTGGTTAGATATAAAACAATAGGATATATTTCTGTTTGGCTTGAATATTACAACAGCAAAAAAACTCCAGTTATTGAGTCTCCTACTACTATCATTGTCTAGCTATCATAAAAAACTGTATATAGTATATATTATGACTACTACTATATGTGTGTTAAAAGCTTGTCCTGAAGCTTTACAGATTGTTTGTTTGCATTCTCAGCTATATTTCTCACCAGAAAAGTTACTGTATATGCAGCAGCTGTCTGTCCAATAGACCCAACACCAATGGCACAGCCAAATGCACTGTCATAATGGCAGACATAGTGGTATCCAAAGGATTAGGGGCTCCCTCTAAAGTTGTCTAGAAAATAGGACTATAATGCTAAAAACATCACTCCTAACTGTCAGTTTGCTGAAGGTTTGTCAGTTTATCCAAGGTTAATAGAAAACAAATAGGCTGGTGAACTATAGTATTACCTTACTGGCTCATTTGTAGATTAGCTAGTAGACTATATCAGCTGGTGAAGATTTCATCAAAAAGGCTCATGAGAAAACTTCATGTCATGGAATTCACACTATAAAGGATTTTTTTCTTTCTATATATTTATTTAATTTGTATAACTGCATTAGCCTATACTAATCTAAAATATATCAACAAGACAGTATTGCTTAACACAATCTCTGGTCATTAAAACTCCCCTTCTACCAAATTTATCTGATGTCTGCCCACCATTAGGGTAGCTGTAGGTACCTAACAATAGTAATAGTGGCTATAGTAATTATAACAATAGTAGCTATCTTCCATAATCAAGTAGAAAAGCAGGAGACAGAATATATACCTACACTTATCATCAAAACTATCTAGTTTGTACAGACCTTACAGGTGGCTGGCTCTCATGATTTGGAGATTTATAGGTGAAAAATGATCAGATGTATACATTTTGGTGCTTTTATATGATTCATTTGTTCATTTTGTATACATTTTAGATCATATCCCTGATGAAGCAGTAAAAAATTGAAAAACAAGCTGAGTCAGGATGTCTGTTTCTCACTTTGGAAATAGCATCAGGACAAGCTTTTGACACACATATCGTAGTAGTCCTAATATGTACAGTATATTATAGCTAGACAGTGATAAGGGGGAAACTCAAAGGATGGAGATTTCTTTGCTGTTGTAATGTTCAAGCCCAGCACAAAGATATCCCATGATTTTAGATAGGTATTGTATTTATAATTAGCTATTTTCTATTTAGCTTTTTTTAATGGGTGTTTTGAATAAAATTACTTTTTTTTACAATTTCATATCTCACCGCTGCCTTAAAATTCCAAATATTTATATTTTAGGATTACTATTTAACCACTTTTTAACTTTGTTGGTTGCTTCATAAATTAAAGTGTTTATTGACATATGTTTTATAAGTGCATCTAGCACTTACCTTTTATACGCCATCTTTGTAGCTATGTTATAATGGTGTTTGTAGGGTGCTCTGCAATGGTATGACCTCCAGAAGAAAAGGATCTTGGGCATCCAGTGGAGGGAAGGGAGACCAGATGACATGAGAGCACGCTGTGCACTGGAGCAGCTCTTCAAGAGTGGAGTAGACTCAAGTAAAGTAAATAGCAAGGTAATAAATCATCCACTCATTATCATCTACTAGTAAAGTAAATAGCAAGCAACGTAGTATAAACCACAGGGGCAGGCTAAACAATAAACAACATATTCTTAGGAGCATGTGCAAAATTCTTTGATCCTGTAGGTTTTCCCCTTGTTGGTAAATTCCTTTTGACTATCAAGGACAAACTTACAGGTCAAGCACCGTGGTTTTCTGCACAGATACATACCAATGATGGGAGAAAAGGTGGGGGACATTGTATAACTAGCTTTGGGCCTGAGTTTGCTAGGGGCCACTTTGCCTTTTTACATTGTGTACTTTTCTATATGCAAATTTAGGATTACATGATAATTGATGTTTGAGATGTGGATCTTGCAATAATAGGGACCAGTGTTTCCTTAGAACACTTTCCATCTGTTTATGACAACGGTGAAATTGGGTAGTGAACCAGATATCATTAAAACAGTATTCTTGCAGAAGTATCCCTTCTGCAAGAATTTGTTCTTAAGTAACTCACCCTTGGAAACGTAGTCCTCGATTTGCGTTCAATTATGTTTTAACCTACAAAACTGGCTCTGGGAAATATTAGAAAGCCAAGGTGTGTGGTGGCAGCTCCAAAGATGCAAAAAGGAATTGCCAGCAGTAGGCTTCATGT